TATATATATATATATATATGTATAAATCAGGCACAGTAAAAGATTAATACAACTAATACTGGAATAACCGCAAGAATGTAAGTTTTATAAATGTGGTTTCTCCCTCTTTCTCAAAATATCTTACTGTACAGTTCTGTATACCGTGGGTACCTGAAACCTCAGAAAGCAAAACCATGGGTAAGAGAAAACTAATGTACTTGCCCTGCAGGTCTCGTAGGACTGCTGTGATGCAAATGAAGCAATGTTTTAGGGTTCTCTGAACCCCAATAAGTGATGCAAGTTGCTATTATCATGTTTCATCTCTACTTCAGAGTAAATTCCTCTAGGGCAGTGAGTCCTTAAAGCCTAGTTCTGGGATGGACAGCACCACTTGAGAATGCATCAGAAATGCAAATCTCAGGTCCCATCCCAGACCTACTGAATCAGGAACTATGGGTGGATCCCAGAAATTAGTATCTTAAATGAGCTTTTCATGTGATTTCGATACCCACTGAAAACCACTAGGGCCTAGGGATTTTGCCCCCCGAGGGGCATTCTGGAGACATGTTTGGCTGTTGCACTAAGGGAGGGGTGCTACTGGTATTAGTGGATAGAAACCAGGATTCTGATACACAGGACTGCATCACAGCATTATCCTGGAATGCACAGGACTGCCCCCACCAGTAAGTATCTGGTCCTAATTTCAATAGGGCCAAGGATGAGAGAAACTTCTCTATGGTGAAGGAGAGTTTGTTTTTCTTTTTTTCCCCACAGGATTCCAAATAGGTCATCTGAATGCCCTAATAAAATGCAGACAAATTGCCAATGGTTCTACTTAATGAGCCTTGCCTCCAGCATTTTATTAATCTGAGGATGAGACTCTAAACACATTACTTCCTTGTGATGTAAGTTTGGGCAATTTCCCAGTCTAGAGCACTGAAGCTCAATCCTTTTAAACATGCCTAACCAAAAATATTTTGTTAATGTTTCTTTTCTGAGCTTGCCACAGAACAAGTTAGTTTTTCCCAAATAAATAATCTTTGAAATGTCTTTTCATTAAGCTTCACACACTCTTCTCCTTTCCCCATCACTTTCCACTTGGGAATAACTAAAAAGTCAGACTCAGACCTGACGCAGAAGGCCCTTCACAAGACCTGACTCCTATAGAACTCGCCCTGCTCCTTGCTGTGATGCTCAGCTTTTCCTAACTGTACTGCTGTTTTCCCCCAACTCGGCCCACTGTTTCATGCCTCTGGGCTTTGGTGTATGCTCTTTCTCACAGAATGTCTTTCATGCTTGTTGACCTGTCCCTTCAAAGACCAGCTCAAATGTGACTTCTTTCAATCTTTCCATGACCACTGCAGAATGTCACTTATGCCTCTGCCTATCTGTGGCCAGGAAACTTGTAGATCTTACCATCTTGAATTATAATTATCTGGGAACACTACTATTTCCTCCACTGCGCATGGCAGAGCCCAGATTGGAGGTCAAGTCTAGAGGACTCTGAAGCCAAGTCCTTTCCACTGTACCATATTCTCGTTAGATAACCTAGAGGCTGATCTGTTATGGCCCTTTTGATTCTCCCAGTGATTCTCTGGCTCAGATGCTCACTAAACTAAGAAGGGACAGGGGAGTCCCTGTCCTTAACAGGACAGATCCTGATATGGAACAAGTCAGTGGCTATGAGAATAAAGACAGGGGGCAGGATGAGACTCAGCTGAGACACATTCAGCGGTGAGGAATCTAATGAGGGTCCAACCCGACACAAGCAAGATCGAGAGCCCTCTCTCAAATCCCCGAGCGGTGGCAGCTGATGGAATGCAGTACTGGACATCACAACTGCCATTTACTGTGTGCTCACAATGGGGCCCCGAGTCTTTTCACCTGAGGCAGGTCAGAATGGAGGTGCGGGAGGACAAGGGCAATGTGGTCAGTTTGTCATCACTTGGTGAGACAGCCTCTCCCTGCTGTAGGGATTCATGAAATCGGCGGATGTTCTGCACGTGCTCCTCGTGGCGTGATACCTGGTTTCTTGTGACACCAATTCTGCCAAGAAAAAACAGGAGCAAAATAATATCCCAATCAGTAAGAAAACTCTTAGTGTGACAGTGAACAAACCACTCTTGTGAAATGGTACTGCAAATCTGTTGCTTCAGCCAGTCCTGGCTCCTTCAATTCTTGCTTGTGTTAGAAATGTCCCCCAGATAATCTCGCCTTTAGTCTCATTCCCTGCTCTTTAATCCATCCTTCATTTTATAGCCTAAATGATTTTTCTAAAACATAGATCTGAAATAACAGTTATAAGGACAATAATATATTTGGAGTTCTTATTATATGCTAAGTCCTGCTGCAAACATTTCATGTGTATTGAATCTATTTAATCACCATCATCTCTCCTAGCTTTGGCTTTTCCTTCTTATCCACAGAACAAAACTCAAATTCTTGAATTCAAGAATGTGATTTTTAGACCAACCATGGGGTGGTGTGTGCTGGCAAGACCCTGTTGTTTGGACCGGCATACGGCATGGTGGTTAAGGTACTGGACTCGCACATGGCCGACAAGACTTGGACCTGGCAGCTTGCTCTCTCACTTTCTCTTTCTCCTTCTTTTATTAAGTTAAGTAATAATAATAATAATAATAATAATAATAATAATAATAAGACGCTGTTGCTCAGCAGGCTGAAACTATCTGGGAAGCTTGGGTTTGATTCCCAGCCCACCCTAAGAAGCCAGATATGGAGGTGTATGTGTCTAATTCCAGTTATCTGGGAGGCCGAGCAAGGAGGATCATAGCTAAGAGACTTTGTCTCAAAAAAAAACCCAAAAAACAAAAAACAAAAAAAACAAAGAAAAACACTGAACACATGTGCATATGTACGCACCTATGCACCTCTCCCCAAAAAAGTGTTCAGTTCACTGGTTTTCAGTACAGTCACAGAGTTGTGCAACTACCACCACAATTAATTTTAAAACCTTTTTATTTTTAATTGCCAGAGGACACATGCACTTGCCAGAGAGAGTGAGAAAGCATCCTGTCCCTGCCATGGGGTATAGTCATGCCACAATCTCTTCCCTCGTTATTTACACTGCCTTGTCCCTGGGCAACCATTAATTGGCTTTCTGTCACAGATTAGTATGCGTTTTCTAGAATTTCAGATAAATGGAATTATATATGATATACTTTTGTCTAGTTTCTCTTCCTCAGCACAACTGTAGTGCATTTTGTTGTGTATTAATAATGTACTACGGGACCAGCAGTTGGCATAATGGCTATGTTGCTGGACTCCCATGTAGTCGACCACAGTTTGAGTCCCAGATCCAATGGCTTAAACTCACGCCGGGTGCATGTGCGTGTGTGCCCAAGATCCTGAGAGGAGAATGGAGGAGAAGGGATTGTAGTGTGGCCATCACCCCTGGGGGGGGGGTGATTTCTTACTTTCTATCTCTCTGTTTTTCTGGTGAGTGCATGTGCCCTATAACAAACTCCCCCCCTCAAAAGAAATGCATTTCTTGGGACTAGCAGGTGGCGGGGTGGTTAGGATGCTGGACTCCCACATGCCCAACTGTGGTTCAGGTCCTGGACCTGGTGGCTTGCTTTCTCACTCTCCCTCTCTCTCTCTGTGTGCCCCTCTTGTCAAACTGAATAATAGTAATAATAACAATAAAAAAATTCTTAAAAAAAAAAAGCACTTCTTTTGGGAATAGCAGATGTCATAATGGTTATGTAGCTGGATTCCCACGTAGTCGACTGTGGTTCGAGTCTTAGATCCAGAGGCTTAAAACTCAACATTGGATGTGTGTGTGTGTTCATGCCCAAAATCCCAAGAGAGAATAGAGGAGAAGGGATTATGGCATGGCCCCTAGGAGGATGATTTCTTGCTTTTTGTCTCTCTGACGAGTGCGTGCGCCCTATAGCAATCACTCTCTCTAAAAAAAAATATGTATTTATTTTTATTTTTAAGTATTCTATTACATGGTTACAAAACACTTTGGTTACTAAATCACCTATTTGTTGATGGATATCTGCGTACTTTACGGTTTTTGTTATTACAAATAAAGCACAAAGACCAGGAAGTTTGGAAATGGTCCAGGGATTTCACATATATTATTAGTAATAAAACCTTTGCTGTGAAATGCAATTAGCTAATGTCTGTAAAATGCTTATAAATATGAATTATTTCTATTCTCATTTACTCTTCACAACAATTCTTGAGGTAATGAAGAATTACTTCTTCAACAAAGAAGAAAGCCAAGGCTTAGAGAATTGGGGTAATTAGTCTAAGGTCATAAGTAGTTAAGTAAAGAAACCAGGATAGGCCTCCAAATATGTCTGACCTAGAGCCTATTTCACCAGCCTAGGCCTGAAGAAGAATGAGATCTCTGTTTGGTGAGGTAGTTAGATGGGGAACTGTAGCGTAGCCTTGGATAGATGGCTGGATTAGAATATAATATGATATTCTGATGTGGCCCTTCTCACGTGGTAACAGGAACATTTTTTTATGTGGACAAAAACAAACAAAAAACCAAAAACTTCCAAACCTTTAGCCTTTAAGATTACTAAATAGTGGGCACCAGAGACACCCTTATCTTACCTGGATGTCATTGCTGACTATGGTCAAAGTAACACAAAGATAACGACGGAATCACCTAAAACTGGGGTTAGGAATTGACAGACACATAGCTCCAGTGTACAGAGGGAGAGGATCTCTTCATGTGGTGAGCAATGAGAAAACTACACAGCATGGAAATGGGCCTTGCAGTGGTCAAGCAGTACTAGAGTATCTTTCTTGAAATAAAGGGTCTATTCAGTAAGTGCTGTTAGGGGTGGCAGCCGATCCTGAGAGGATCTCTGGGATGAAGACGACGACACGGGAAAGACTGGTGGGAGCAGAGGGATGGTAAATGGCAGTCAGGCCTGGAAGAGAGCGAGGTGGAAAGCAGCAGTCTCACTCTTAGACTGTCTCTGGACAGGGTAGAACGTACTCTGATATCTACACGCACATCCAAGGTTGGCTTTTACTTTTTGCAAAATAACTTGTACATAGTTTTGAGAGGGAAAAGATAATATATTTCTCACACAGCTGTGACTGAGTTTAGGGTTAAAGGTTAAAAGCCTCTGAGGAGAAGAGAAAGTTGTCTGTTGCACTGAGATGATAGTACTGATGGTTGCACAACTCTGAATATACTGAAAACCAGAGAACTGAGCACTTAAAGCCGGTCTGCATTATAATACCTGAGTTATATCTCAATTTCTTAATAAAACAAGGTTAGCAGTAAAAATTTGAGTTCCTATCTTATAAAAACTTTGTTCTTATAGGATCTTGGGGCTCCCAGGGTTATGCCAGAAGATCAATTAAGCCCTCTGCCTGTGTCCACTTTCTTCCTCTAATAAAGAAAAGAATGATAAGCCAATCCATACACTTCCATTATTTAACCCCGTTTCTTCCCATCATTAAAAAATAACTCACCTCCCAGGAGAGGAGACATAGAGTTCCTTTGAAGTGTAAGCAAGCTGGTCTGGGGTCTGCTCTGCCATGTGGCTAGGGAACGCAGCATACACATCGGAGGCAGGGAAGGGAAAGGGACCATACCTCAGAGTCTGTAAAAGCAGTGAGCAAACGTACACTTGTTACCACAAATCTTTTTAAACAAAGCAGTGTAGAAATAAACCTGTAAAATCCATTGTGCATGTATGAATATAATTCACTGAGCATTTTCTGTGTGTAGGGCACTGTGCTAAGCATACATTTTCTCATCTAAACTTTATAATAACCCTATGAGACAGGTATTACATCCCTATTTTATAGACTATGCTGTTAGATTGCTTTTTAGTTGCTTTCTCTATATTTGGGTTTCTATTCCTTCAGCTAGTCTGTAAATCCCTGGCTGGACATCATTTTACATTTACTTTACACATGAGTATAATCTGGCTGTGATATTCCTTGTCTCCTATCAGGGTTGATTCGAAGAGAAGACATTCCTACAAAGGGACTGATGAACTCTTGGCCATTTTCTTGTGCATGTGTTCATTCAATGTTTATCAGCGCCCACTCTGCCGAATCTGGGACAGATGTGCGTGCAAGAAATGAATAAAACATAGACTTTGCCTTGATAGAGCTCCTCTCTCTGAGACAAATTTGGAAAACGATTTCTTGTATGTTTGTATGTTCCATTGCCAATTCCCTCCTTATTCTCTTCCTTTTTATTTATTTTTAAATGGAAGATGAATGTTTTTAATGTAAGAGCTAACTGATGTGGTATTTCATACTGCAAGTAACCTTGTTTTATTAAAAAAATTGAGATATAACTCAGGTATTAAAAAGCCGACCCGTTTAAAGTGCTCAGTTCTCTAGTTTTCAGTATATTCAGAGTTGTGCAACCATCAGTACTATCTAATTCCTGCACATTCCCCTCGCCCCACAAAGGTCAGGAGACTATTACAAATATACAATGGGTTCTGTGAGTTGTGTACCAAAGATTCGTAAAGACTCCTCTTACAGTTCCTCCCAGCAGAACCCTTACTGATTAGGGGTGTAAATCGAGATACATACCAGTGATCCAGGGGTCTCTGCCCCACGTCTTGCTTGTTTCTCTTTTTTGAAGTGCATCAAACTCTCCAAAGGGGAGATGGCAACTTTTATCTGACCCTGACATTCGCCACTGAAGTCTGTGATGTTGTACCAGCCACAGACAAACTGGAAGCCAGAGAGAAGAGGGGACAGGTCCACTGAGGCAAAGCCAATCACTCTCTCCTCATCTGTAGGGGAAAGAGAAGAGCTGGGCAGTGAGGCTGACAGTGCCCGGCCATTGAGATCAGAGGCTGCACACAGAGAGGCTGATGCAGTGGAATGGGGAGTTGAGTGATTCCCAAGCTCACACAGCACGAATGATGAGGTTGAGAGAGACTGGTAACTGGAGCCTGCTTTTGCTATTAGGAATGCCCTTTCGGTATGGCAGGGAAAAGATGGCAGAATTGAGCTTTGTCTTCTTCATTCAGACAACCAGAAAATAACACCAAACTTAAGAAGCACTTGTTCTTTTCCCTAGGCTACCGTGTCTCAGTGGTTTTCTTCAGGGCAGTGGGCCTTGAAATTATGGAATGAAGAGGGATTTGTGTTTTCATAGTTATACTTTTCTGTATTTTCCAAATTTTGCAAAGTCATGACATGTTTTACATAGAAAAACAGAAAAGTATATTATGAGTTTCCCAGTGACATAATAAATTTAAGAACAAAGTGACATAAATTATAGAGAAGACCAAATTTTCTACATATAGATATGTATCATTGGATCGTTGCAAAGTCATGACATGTTTTTACATAGAAAAACAGAAAAGTATATTATGAGTTTCCCAGTGACATAATAAATTTAAGAACAAAGTGACATAAATTATAGAGAAGAAAAGTAACCGCCCTGGAGAACACAAGGTAGCACTGGTGCAGCATAAGCCTGGGCTCTGGCTCTTCTCCACATGGTGAGGGAGCTGCCCTTAATGACTGAGAAGATGACCTTTCACTAGACAAGCTGCCATGCAGTGGCCTTCATCCTTGGGCTTTGTGATTCTTATTCTTCATTTTTTTTTTTCATTTTTTATTTCATTTTCTTTTATACATTCAATCACATTACTTAGCTTACAAAATGAATATTTCAACAGCTTATTCTTCATTTCTGCCCTGAAAATTTCTGGCCCTGGTCATTCCACAAGTTCCTATTTTGAACAAGCGTGTCAAAGGCTGAATCTACCAACATTGACACAACTACAGGTTGTCAATTGTAGATGTGTAAATTAAGAAACGCACATTTTCGAGGAACAGTCTATGAGGCTTCCACAGTTCCCTGTGCACACTCCTGGTGACACTAAACACATTGTATGACACTTGTTTAGACAGCTTGCTCTTCTTTAGACTGGGACTACATAAAAGACAAAAGCAGGTCTTGCTCTATGTTCCCTCCACTCTCCATGCCTGGCAGAATACCTTCCCCCCTACACTCTCCATGCCTGGCAGAATACCTTCCCATGTGATGAAAAACCTGATAAACATCCACTGAGAGCATGAGTGAACTGGCCAATGTGGAGTGGGACAAAGAAACAGTATGGCACTACTGCAAACCTGGGCTGACATCCCTCTTAACTCTTTGAGCCCAAGTTACATACATATATATCAAGAGGCACTGCACCAGACTTAAGACCCCCTTCTTTGATTCTACTAAGACCTGAAACTGTATTACCCAGAGTAGAGAGTAAGTAGTTCTTACCCAATGGGGATGAAAACTGATGGCTAGAGTCATTAATTTACATCCTGAAGATTTGTTTCGCTTTGCAAAGAAAACTAATCATGCCTTATTTGGCTATGAGACATGTAATCTGTTCTTCAAAACAATTTTTTAAAAGTTTTATTTATTTTATTCATGAGAGATAGTGCATGGGTGTGCATGTGACAGAGAGTGCACATGTATCAGAGGTTGGGGGAGAGAGAGAAGTATCCTTAACTTGGTCTCATCATGTTGTGACCCCCTTTCTTGAGAAAGTGAGAAATCACTTCCCAGGGGGGATGGTCACACTTCAATCCCTTCTCCCCCATTCTCCTCTCAGAATTTTGGGCACACACACATGTATACCTGGCATGAGTTTTAAGCCGCCGGGTCCAGGACTCAAACTGTGGTCAACTACATGATAGCCTAGTGATGTAACCATTACGTCATCTGCTGGTCCCCCTCATACTCTTTCTTACTCCAGACTTTGGTATTTGTTGTGCCCTCTGACTATAGTATACCTCATCCCTTCGTTTCCCAGCTGAGGAATGCTCTAGGAAGCCTTCTCTGACATCCTAAGTTTGGGTTAGATGTCTCCTAGCAGTGCTTTATCATACTATATTGTAACTGTTTTATCACCCACTTCCTGCCAGCTCTGTGAAGAAAGGTCCCTGTCTGTCTTATTTTACTTTGCTATCCTTTGCACTTAGCATAATACCTGGCACAGAGTAAAGACCTCAACTGTGCTGACCACAGTTCGGTCTGCTTTGAGTACTTTCTGTAACATGTTTGCTGAGTCTGTGTGGAAATGAGGGCATTAAGGGGAGAGAGATATCTACATACACTGAGAGACATACTAGATGAGTTAGGTCAGTTAGACCAGTTAGGTCTATGCATTTCTCCCATGATGGCAGGTGGTGGGAGACACACAAAGTGACAGTGTAGGATTAGCCAAATATAGAATGTTCTGGTAGGAGACATCTAACCCAAACTTAAAATGGCATTCTGGGTATTATGATTCGTGACCAATATAATTGTACAGATTCAAATGTACTTGGATTTCTGCACTAAGCAGTAGTCAAACAAAACCAATATGATTTCTATTTAAATTCCATAGGAGAACAATATGGAATACTATGAGATTACTCTCTACCACATATCTGTGTTCCCAATATCATCAGTACCATGGCCTCACTTGGTTAAAAAAGAAAAGGAGGGGCCAGCAGGTGACGTGGTGGTTAAAGGCGCTGGATTCCCACATGGCTGACAGCGGTTCAAGTCCCAGACCTGGTGGCTGGCTTTCTTGCTTTCCCTTTCTCTCTCTCTGTCTTCCTCTGCTCAAATTAAAAATAATAACAAATGGAATTAAATAAATAAATAAATAAATAATTCTTAAAAAAAAAAGGAAGAAAAAGAAAAGGATTGGCAAATTGCCAACGGTATGTGAGCTTATTTTTACAGTCAGATAGATATTCATGTACAAAATCATACCTCTTTTATGCCAAACTTTGAAGACGAGGGTTTGCTGTGGGTCCAAAAGCAGCTCTTTTGAAAGCCTGTTAAGAAAAACAAGCACCATAAAGAACTTAGTGGAAATTTTCTGTAGTATGAGGCTTAGATTTGAAGAATATCCTACAGTTTTTGCAAAGTGAAAATTTCCCAACACTATTTTACTTCATCTTTGTGGGGATCTTCTAGGACATCTTCACAGCTAAATGAGGGGATACAAGCTCATCAAGGTAAACTAACCTGGCGAGACTTGGAAACAGGTTCCCTGACGCAGTGCTTCCTCCAACTCCCAAGAGTATCTACACATTCGAACTCTGTTGGTCTAAGACAGGGTAGGAAGTCTGGGAAGGGAGCTCCAATAAGCAGTTTTATTGGAATGAGTAAGGATTTTTTTTTTTTTTTTTTAATGCCCTACGGAGATGGAATGGTAGAAAGGAGAAGGAAGGGGAAAAAAAGCATTTCTTGAATATCTACCTTGGGTTGGGCATGGTCCCAAGTGAATCATATCTATTTAATCTGTCCAAAAGCCTATGACATGGACACCATTATCCCTATTTTATGGATGTAAAGCGATTTGCTTAAGGTCACACAAGAATCAGTAGGTGGTAGCGCCAGGACCTGAACCCTGGTTTGCCTGAATCCAATGTTATAGAGTGGACGGTGTGGAAACAAGGCAATGAAATAAAAAAAGTACCTAGCTTTCATACCAGAAAAAGAGGTTGAGGTGGAATTCACTGAGTACTTCTAATAGGTACATTTCATATGAAGTAAGATATAGTTTTAAATTACAAACAAACCTCACTGAACAGTTTGAAACCAGGTGCTATACTATTTTAGGTCAACCAGCTGAAGATCCATGGAAAACCAAGAGACTTAATTTCATCCCCAAAACTGCACTGGGGGAACTGAGGAGAGCCTACTTCATGGCCAGTGAGAGGCACTGTGCTGTGCCAAGGTGACACAAATACCCCTCGCCAGAGATGCTAATTGTAGTGGAAGTCAAAAGACTCATCTTTGAATAATTCCATCCTGAGTCTGGGCATGCACTTAGCCTCTTCAAGATCTAGCTCTCCGACCCTTTACATGAGATAATATTATCTACCTACAAGTTGTTAGGTGATTGAATGAAATAATTCTGTGATAAAAGAACTGTAAATAGCACCATTATTCAACTTTTTTCTAATCCTGCCTCTGTTACCAACTGTGACACCTCTAGGCCACAGTCTCTTCAACTGTAAAGTGAGGGATGAAATCAGCAGATGACTAACGTCCTTTCACCAAGTTAGCAAAGTTTTATAATTATGTGAGATTGCTATGTTTTAAATAAATCAGTTTCACTTAGAAGCTCAAGTCTCTGTTTTCCCGTTTTTAGGGGCCAGTTTGGTATTATAGATAAATGACCCTGGCAACTATGGCCAGAATTTCTATAATTTTCAGCACCTCACCATAGATGGTAATGAGCTTTCTAGCTCCTGACTCAAGCCAGCCTCTCAAATTACAAAATGCTGAACATGTGAGCAATTGCCAAGACTTAAATACAAGAACACTGAGAAACTGCAGATCAGGCACTGAGGGTATGGCTAGTGTTGGGAGACAAGAACTAAACTACTAAAGGCAAGGCAGTATGATGACAATAGCAACAATAACTAATATTACAAATCACCTGTCCCCTTTTTAAAAGTCTGTCAGAGGTTGCAAACGCTCCCTAGAAAGAGAGAATGAAGGAGAGGGGAAAGTGAGGAAGCATCCCTCTACTGGAGAAGGTCATGCTGTAATCCCTTCTCTTCCATCTCTCACTCGTTTCAGGGTTTGGGGCATGCATGCACACGTCTGGCATGATTTTCAAGCTGCCAGGTCCAGGAGAACAGCAGACTCGATTATGTGGGATCCAGTCACCATAACCACCATGCCACTGGCTGGCCCAGAAGCCAACTTTTTAATGATGACTGGTAAAGAAGAAAATGGAGGACACGGCTCAGTAGCAGACCTTTCATGAGGCCGCCTATCTCTGAGTAGCACTGCAACATGACTAATAAGACACTTCCTCCTGTTTTTTGAGCCTTCTAGAGATCTAACATCTGTTGTTGAACACACTTACTATGTACCATGAAGTAATATCCCTAAGTGTCATCTAATTTGGACCTCTGAACCACTCTGTAAAAATTATCTGGACAATATAGGCAAGAAAGGTGAGGCTCAGAGATACCATGCAACTTATTCACACAGCTGGTAAACAGCAGTGATAGGGTTGGAGCCCAAGTCTCTCTGTTCCAAAGTCCAGGTTCTTTGCGCTGCATCAAGTCTTTCCCAAGGACAAATAATCTACAGCCTTTCCCGAGATTAGTTCTCGCTGACTGGAACACCCTTCCCACCCTTCTTCACCTGGAAAACTTGGGTACATTCTTAAGTATTTAGGTGAGGTGTCTTATTTATGAGTCTTCCCTGAACTTCCAGCTTGGCCTCACTAATCTTACTGAGCTCTAACAGTCACCTTTTCACTTTTCTTACTGCACTTGTCACACTTAACTACAATTCTTTATTTGTATTTCTTCCAGGAAGATCATGAACTCAATAGCAGAGTGTCTTAATCATCTTTAATTTCTGGTATCTAGAACAGAGCTGAGTATAGAAAAGGCCCTCTCATTGGATAATTTCTGAGCTACACTGAGCAAGATAAAAACAAGACAAGAAAACCTTCAAGCTACTGCTAGCTATGAATTTACAGGTACTAGGATCAAAAAACGACTTTGATAATAAGAAAGGCATTTTCCAGGGCTGCTCAAATATTCTATTACATTCCTTGCTCTGAGTTTGAACCGAAAGCAGATGCTGGAAGGGCTGACAGAGCATCAGAAAATACAAACCGTGACTGCTGCTGAAAATTCCAGATAGGAGAATCTGTGTTTTCAACCACGTGGGTGTATATAGGAGACGACTCATCGGCCGTTGCAAAGGACACACAACAACTGGGTACAGACACTCTTCGCTCTGTCAAGGGGCTCCCTGAAATAGAGTAGAGTGGAGTGACTACTTTAGGATACCAAAAAGAATGTGCTAGAAGAAGCTTCCCATTATACAAGCAGAACCATTCCTAGTCCTTTTTAACCTTTAGATCTTAGCTTGAGCTATATTCCCTGTCATAGACATGTTACCAGTGACCTTTCTGCGACTGCAACTGTTCTTTAATGGCTCAGTTCATAAATATGCCTCCATGTGAAGTGATTTCCCCATATCTTTGTACCATTAGAAAATATTGGGCCAGTTGGTGATGTGGCGGTTAAGGTGGCAGGATCCCACATAGCTTAGTGCAGTGAGTTCTAGACTCAGTGGCTTGAAAAACACACTGGACACATATTTGTATGTGCCCAAAATTCCAAGAAAAATTAAGAACTGCAATGGGGTTATCTTCCATAGGGGGTGACTTCTCACTTTCCCTCTCTTTCTTTCTATTTCTCTCCAGTGAGCGCACATTCCCATAGCAAATTTAAAAAAAAAGAAAAAAAAAGAATAAAGAAAATCCCATGGGGGATTGAAAGGCAAAAGATGGCATAGAACTGCAGAGTTCTGAACTTAGAGAGTCAGATGATCAATTACCAGCTCTGCCATATCCATATCTGTGTGACTCTGGACAAGGACCACCTAGTCTCTTCAACTGTAAAATTGGCCGTATTCTTTTTTTTCCAAATTTGCCAGAAGGCATGTATGCTCACTCAGGAGACAGAGAGGGAAAGTGAGAAAGCACCCCCCATGGGGGATAGTCACATAGTTCCTTTCTTCTACTTCTTTCAGGATCTTGGTGCTTGCTTGGGAGAGACAGAGAGAAAGCATTCCCTGTAGGGCACAGTCACACTGCAATGTCTTTTCCACTTTGAGCAGGATCTTGAGCACACTCACAAATGCCCAGTGTATTTCTCAAGCCACTGGGCCAGGACTCAAACTGCGCAGTAGACCAAGTGAATAGAGCCATCCTAACCACCACACCACCCGAACAGGCCATATTATGCTTATATCTTCTTTTATGAGATCAGGTTTCCAATGTGGTAGACATTTATTCTGTCTTACAACAACATAAAACAAAGATGGCTGATGAGTAGATAGTGTAACTGAGATGACAATAAGATAACCCACCAGCTCCACGTGGCTATTCAACTTTAAATTAATTAAAACTGAGTAAGATTAAAAATTCAGTCCCACAGGGCTGGCAAGTAGCATGGTGGTTAAGGAGCTGGACTCCCACATGGCCAACTACAGTTCAAATCATGGACCTCGCAGCTTGTTTTCTCACCTTACCTCTCTCTGATCAAATTAAATAATAATAATAATGAATAAATTAAATAATTCTTTTTTTGAGAGAGAGATTTTTGCTATAGGGCACTTGTGCTCGCTAGAGAGATAGAGAAAGAGAGACAGGAAGTGAGAAATCACCCCCTAGGGGGATGGCCACACTGTAATGTAATTCCTTCTCTTTCATTTTCCTCTTGGGATTTTGCACATGTACACACATGTGCCCAAGGGAGTTTTAAGTTGCCAAGTCCAGGACTCGAACTATGGTCAACTACATGGGAGTCCAGTGATGTAACCATTATACCATCTGCTGATCCTGAAATTAAATAATTCTTAAAAAAAAAAAAAAAGAAAATTCAGGGACCAGCAGTTGAGGTGGTGGCTATGTCACTGGACTCCCATGTAGTTGACCACAGTTTGAGTCCTGGACCTGGTGGCTTAAACTCACACTGGGCGTGTGTGTATGTGTGCCCAAGATGCTGAGAGGAGAATGGAGAAGGGATGCAGCATGGCCATCCCCCGCTGGGAGGTGATTTCTTGCTATTTTTTCTTTTAAATTATAAAAAGTATAAAAAAAAAAAAAAAAAATCAGTTCTAGGCCACCCTGTGACATGATGGTTGGGACAGTTAGACCCTACATGTCTAACTGTGTGGTTCAATTCCTGCACCTAGCAGCTTAGAAGACATGCTGGGCACATCTGTGTGCATGCCCAGAATCCTGAGAGAACTGAGGAGAGGGAACTGCAGTGTGGCCATCTCCCTTGGGGGATGACTTTTCACTTTCTCTCTCTGGTGAGTGCACGTGCCCTATAGCAAAAACTGAAAAAGAAGGAAAAAAAAAATCAGTTCCTTTGTGGTACTAGCCTAGCTACATGAGGCTAGTGGCTATCATATTGGACAGGGAAGACAGAATATTTCTGAGCTAGGGCTCAGATATGTCTATTTGTTCATTTAACAAATACTCACTGCTTGTTGTATGTGTGAGATGCAGTTCTAAGTGTTGAGGAGTCAGCAGTAAAGAAAAGAAACAAAATCATCCCTGTCTTAAAGGACTTATATTCTTCTAGGAAAGATGGAACACAAAAACAAAAAAAAACAAAACCACACTGTCAAAAGCTAGAGACAAAAGCAAAGCAGAAACAAGGAATAGAAAATGTTATGGAAGGTGCTGCAATTTTAGATGAAGTGGCCAAGGAAGGTCTCACTGAGACAGAGTGACTTTAGTAAAAATGATCAGAAATGAGGAATATTCCAGGCAGAAGGAATTGAATCCAAAGGCCTCAAGGCAGGAGTACACACACTCATTTAAGAAAAAGCAGAGATCAACCTGGCCGGAACAGAGTGAATGAGGGCATTGGCAGGATGATAAATGGAGTTTTTATGTGGGGAAGGGATAAAGGAATCCAGGCTAAGCAAGGTGCATGAGCACAGGCCAGGCAAATGCCAAGCACTGCTGGAGAAACTGCCATTGTACCGTTCAAGGCTACTCCAAACCTATGTCAATTAGTCTTAGTTAGGCCCTGTTGCTGTTCAACAATTTTCTGACTGTTCTCTTCAGGATTCTCTATGGTTCCCCTGCATCAACCAAGACTTCCAAACAGGATGAATCTCTACCATGACCCTACCGAACAAGCTTGGAACACATACCCTCCCACTGCAATGCTGCTGTTCCAGTTGATCCATCCACCTGAAATTCCACTCTCACCTTCCTAAAATCTTGCTAACTCTTAAAAAGTTCTCCTGATGTCCTAGACTTACAAGGAGGGTCTTCAAAAAGCTGATGAAAAATGTGTATTATGATAAAATTATGCAAGGATTTCATAGTTTTTACACCAAAATAAACTTACACTTTAGTTCCATTTTTTCCATGAACTCTTTGAAGCCCCTTCATACCTGAGATTTTTGTTTCTAAACTCTCTAAACATTATATATTGTATTAATTACTCTTTAGACTCTCAGCACATTCTGCTTTATATATCATTAGCTATGGAGATATTAATCTTCTTATTCCCCTGCATCAACCAAGACTTCCAAACAGGATGAATCTCTACCATGACCCTACCGAACAAGCTTGGAACACATACCCTCCCACTGCAATGCTGCTGTTCCAGTTGATCCATCCACCTGAAATTCCACTCTCACCTTCCTAAAATCTTGCTAACTCTTAAAAAGTTCTCCTGATGTCCTAGACTTACAAGGAGGGTCTTCAAAAAGCTGATGAAAAATGTGTATTATGATAAAATTATGCAAGGATTTCATAGTTTTTACACCAAAATAAACTTACACTTTAGTTCCATTTTTTCCATGAACTCTTTGAAGCCCCTTCATACCTGAGATTTTTGTTTCTAAACTCTCTAAACATTATATATTGTATTAATTACTCTTTAGACTCTCAGCACATTCTGCTTTATATATCATTAGCTATGGAGATATTAATCTTCTTAACTGAGCTATCAGATCTTGGAGGACAAAAGTGATGTGTCATTTACTCTGCACTCTCTGTGCCTGGCACTGGTCCAGCACAGATTACTATTTGCTGAACTGACTACCACTCCCATGATGTCAGGATAGGACTGACCTTGGCAATGCATACCCACTCTGAACTTGACTGGTAAACACAAGGTGTAGCGAGGACTACCGGGCAAACACAACTGTAGCTTGTGTCTGAAAGGCAGGATGCTAGAGAGGATAGATCCTGCCATGGCGTGAAAGATCTGTGCAAAAAAGGTCCATACCCTGAGGAGTCAGGCATAGGCTCCTGGGTAAATGGGCAGAGCATACCTTTCAAGCTCAAGTGCATTGCTCTTTCTACCAGGATACTGACTGCAAAAGTTCCGTCCAACTCAGTAGGGCCCTCCTGAGCCAGGCTGACTTCTGCTGTGGTGCAGTTGCAGGGGACTTGGGTGGAGGCGGGAGGCTTCTGGTGGTCAGATGGTGGAGAAGGCTGGATCTTATCACCTCTACTGGGGAGTTGTTCAGATTCACTGTGGCTACTGCAGTCCAAGGAGTCCAGTTCATGAGTGGGCTCAGTGTGTGGGGAAAGAGAGGACAGAACCACATGAACGCGCAGGGCAGCTCCTGAGAGGTCGGATGCATTCCGTCCAAACAGAGGATACACACCTTTAAAAAAATGGAGGAGTATGAGCCTTGGTAAGCAGAACCAGGAACATTGTGTAACCAGGGAGGAAATACTCTTTCAGGGTACTTGAGGACCTTTCTCCTTTGAAAGGCCTACACATCCCAAGATACTAATTTATAAAAGAAATGGTGAAGCTGGTTTACAATGTAAGAATTTTTATCCTACCATACCATCCTCAGTAAGAGACACTAGTGAGAGCTCTGACTTGAAGCCAAAATCAAATGATTACAAGGCAGAGCTGTTCTGGAAGGGACTCATGTGCTGAGAGGCCATGAGGTTTATCTAAGTCCAGTATCTGATGAAATCAGGTGTGTGGTGTGTTTTTCTCTTCAGCATACCCACAGGCTCCTGTTTCTAGACCTTCTGCCCATTAGGAAGTTGTCTTGGTGTTCAGTTTAGCCTTGCTTTCAGTAACCCTGAAGATCCTTGGAAATGATAGCAAGACACGGGCTCTTCACTTACCACTGACAGTTAGTGTCCTTGTCGACCTCTCCCCGAGTCTGGCCAGGTCCACGTAGGCCGAGCCAATCCAGCTGTCCGTGTGGTGGGGCCTCTCCACACTATCATTGCCATAAGCTCGCCACACTTGGATCTCTAGCTTCTCCTCCCTGAAGTACCAAAGCAATGATGGACCCCTGGTGACTTCTGCCCTTTTGGATGTCTTGAAAGTAACCATAACCTGGTTTTTGTTCGAAGACTCCTTAGGTTTCTTGAGAGGGGTCCAAAAGGCTTCATGATCATATAGCTTGTAGCGAAGGTAGCAGTATGTATTCTTATGAATATTCATGTGGCCAGCAAGCAACACACAGTGGATGGGCAGCCACAGCCTTGGGGTGGAGATGGTGACAGTGGCCGGTTCCTCTTCATTCCCCTTCACAAGATCCTTCAAACTATTCTCAAAGCTCCAGCCCAGTAGTTCAGCAGCTTCCAACACTCGTTCTCTATCTCCAGGATGGGTGAAAGAAACTGAAAGTTCCAGACCACCTACAATTTTCTGCATGAGCTCCAAGCCATGAGGCAGGTCACCATCTTCTGGTAAAATGATAGGATACCATCCTGTAATCCCTTATGGGAGAAAAGAAAGACTTTTAATCATTGTTTTAAAAGTGAAAAAAGAACTTACTGACTCTCCACTTCCTAAGTCTCCATCACCCTGACCCAAGACAGAGCAGAAAACATATACTCACAGTGAGTGAGTCTGCGTTCATCTTCCCATCTAGCACTGAAGGCAATGCAGTCAGATGGGAAGAACAAAGGCTAGGTACTGAAAGATGTGAGTTCTCTCCATGGCTCAGCCTATTAATCTCTATCAGTTTGGGTTTCTTTACCTCACAAATGAGAAAATTAATGCTGATTTTGCCTACCAGGCAAAGTTATGACAATCAAATGAGATAGTGGTCTAGAAGAGCTTTGAATGAAAGGTGCTATAAAAGATGTGAAATGTTGTTATGGTACTACGCATACAGTGGAAAAGGCATGGGACAAAAAGTCAAGATATCTGGGGTTTAGTCCTAGGTTTTTACCAAGGGAACTGTCACTGAGTAAATTACATACCACAGACCAGGCACTAGATTTCAAAATAATAACAGCTACCCTTTACTGAGCATCTACTACGACATGTCAGGAATTCTGCTTCTGTTCAATACGTCTTTCATTTAATTCCTCTGAGAGCACTGTGAAGTTCTGACGATTAGGGCATAAACATCCCTATTTTATAGATGAAAACATGGAAGCCCAGAGATCTGCCCATTATTATAGTTACCAAGTGGTACAGTAAGAATTTAAGTCTTTTTTTTTGAGAGGTTTTTGCTATAGGGCGTGTGCGCTCGCCAGACAGAGAGAGACATAGAGACAGAAAGCGAGAAATCACCCCCCAGGGGATATGGTCACGCCGCAATCCCTTCTCCTCCATTCTCCTCTCGGGATCTTGGGCATGCACGCACATGCGCCCGGCGTGAGTTTTAAGCCACCGGGTCCGGGACGCAAACCATGGTCGACTACGTGGGAGTCCAGCGACATAGCCATTACGCTTCTTCCTAGCTTAGGTTAACACTATCTTATTCGAAACCCTAAGGCCAGATCTGTTACTGAATAGAATTTTTCAGATTTAGAAAAGTAACATAGTACATAAACAGAATATTATTTAATAGTCAGGGAGCATATAAGTTTGCAAACTTATTCTGGAAAGGGCCAAACAGTAAATATCTTAGGCTTTATATAAGAGATATATAGTTAACTACTGAACGGTGCTGCTATAGTGACAGAGTGGCCATAGACAATATCTAAATAAATGGGAATGGAGTGTTGCAGTAAAACTTTACATGAACATGAAGTTCCCTAAGACTCTTTATAGCTGTCAGATTTGTCTGACAGCTATATTATATTAATTTATATCTTGGGATTAATGAGACTAATTTGCCAATGGTTACTTAGCGTTTTATGATTTTAGAAAAGGCATTTAATTTTTCTGGACCTCCCTAATTTTTGTCTGTAAAATGAGGAGGCAGAAAAGGTCGATTTTTTCTTCTTTTTATTAAAGAATTATTTTACTGGGACCAGCAGATAGTATAATGATTGTGTTGCTGGACTCCCAAACAGTTGACTGCTGTTCAAGATCTGGACCAGGTGGCTTAAGCTCACGTCGGGCCTGTGTGCACGCGTGCCCAAGATCCCAAGAGGAGAATGGAGGAGAAAGGATTGCAGAGTGGCCATCTACCCTGGGGGGGGGGGTGATTTCTTATCTTCTGTCTCTCTGTCTCTGTCTTTCCAGTGAGTGCATATGCCATATAGCAAAAACCTCTCTCTCAAAAAAATATAATTTTTATTTAACTATATTTATTTATTTTTTTAATTTTGACCAGAGAGCGACAGAGTAAAAGAGAGAGAGAGAGAGCAAGCAAGCCTGGGACTTGAATTGTGGTTGGCCATGTGGGAGTCCAGCGCCCTTAACCACTATGCCACCTGCTGGCCCAAAAAAGGCTGATTTCGGGACCAGCAGTTTGCTTAATGGCTATGTCACTGGACTCCCATGCAGTCGACTGCGGTTTGTGTCCTGGACCTGGTGGCTTGAAACTCACGTCCAGCATGTGTGCATGTGTGCCCAAGATCCTGAGAGAAGAATGGAGGCGAAAGGATTGCGGCATGGCCAGGCCATCCCCCCGGGGGGTGATTTCTCACTTTCTGTCTCGCTTTGTCTGTCTGGCGAGTGCACATACCCTATAGCAAAAACCTCTCCAAAAAAAAAAAAAAAAAAGAAAATCCATATTGTACTCCACAAAGACGTACAATAATTAGAAGTAAAGAATTATAAAAATTAAAAAAAAAAGAAAACCTAAGATCTTGTATCCTTGCTAGGAAGGATTATCATGAGGCTCAAAGGAAATCTGAGAAAATATTTCACAAAGCACTATATAATAGGTGTTGCCATATTCCTTATCATCATCATCAGAGAATAGAATGACATTGCTATGTTTTGAGTGCCTTTGTTTCACTAATTTGGAATGAGTAGATGAGGACTTCAAACGCTTTTGAAAAAGAACTTCTGGGGTACCTAGAAGAGTTCAGAAGCATGTATTGAAGGGTTGAGTTTTCTTTTGCCTATCTTGTAAGACAAGATGACTTCTTACAAGGAAATGAGTGGGAAAGGGTAGGATCAGAAAGTGATGGTGACCAGGTGGTGATTCTATGGTAAAGAAGCTGAACTCACGTGGAAAAGGTCCTGGATTCAGATCCCAGGATGTCCCTGAGCACACCAGGCATACACATGCCCATGATCTGGGCCAGCTGAGGAGGGCTGGATTGTGGTATGAAGAATCTATGGGGGTTATCTGTCTTTCTGTCTCTCTCTTGCTCATAGAAGAAATAAATAAATACATTTTGAAAAAAGTGATAATCCAGGATTCTTACCACATCTCTTGATCAGCAGCTCTTTTGTTGGAACCTTTACAACTCCAAGCAGATATTCTTTACATGACTGGATACCGGCTAGATCGCTGACTGTTGAATCAAGTGAAAAAGAATATTTGGAAATCTACCAACCAAGGGCTTCCGTTTACGCTATACCCACATAACCCTTCACTTACACTAACTAAATCTCAGTGTTGAAAGATGCATTTGAGATTGTCTTGTTCATATCCCAATCAAAGACTGAATGTCTGCAAAATCATTTTTTAATTAAACATTTTTTGAGAAACTTTTAGGATACAGAAGAGGTCCAAGAATACAAACTCATACATTCTTCACCTAGATTCACTCATTAACATTTAGCACATTTGCTTTATCTCCCTATATCATTTCTATACTCTCTCAAACACGTTTAATACATTTTTTTTTGGTATACCCTTCAGAAATAAGTTGCAGAGTTCATGACCACCCACCTCTAAACATTTCAGCATGTGTCTCCTAGGAAGGGTTACAAAGAGCCTCCTATAATTCTGATTGTGATTAGTCACTTGGTGCTCACCTGACTTGGTATTTTCATGATAGATAGCAAAAGTAACTTCTGCAAATTCCAACAACTCTGCCAGGAAACAGGCCTCTCCACTGCAGTGCCGAGTTACCAAATTACATGAGAACTCAATGTGATGGGAGAATTCAGGACAAAAGGAACAGGCCACAGGGCGGGTTCGCCGCTGTTCTCCCTTGGGCAGGAAGGAGAGGTGAGCAGTTACAGAGGCGTTGACTCCAACTGTGGCACTAAACTGCAGAGCGGGTTCTTGCTCAGCCAAAGCCCTGTAGGGGAGAGAGAAAGAGATGGAAAGAGATGCCATGGTCATATCAGAAAGCAGCTTGATTTCCTAGAAAATATCTCTACTACTTCCATGAAACCACTAAGAATACTAACAGATATGTTTTCTATCTAGGCCTTGACCAAGTGTGCTCTCAGTAATTTAGATATCATACTGTATATGCATGGGGTACAGGGAGAACATTCATCTGCCTGTCAGTGATACTCTGAGGACAATCCACCATACTGTCAATACCCTTTAGCCAAAGACCACAGGAACTAAATGTAGTTGAATAAATTGGCTTCGCAGCTCATTGCATGGAAAGAGAATATATACCATGGGAAACCACAAAGCACTTTATTTAGAAGACATTAGAAAGGACTTTAGGCATTGAGCTCATGTTAGCTATTTGGAGAAGGGCTCAAAGGAGCAGGGCTTTGTTGTGGATTAGCTTTCTTTTTCCAGGTTTTTGCCATAGGACACGTGTGCTGTCCAGAGAGATGAGAGACAGAGAAACAGTGAGAGGGAAAGTGAGAAATCACCCACCAGGGCGATGGCCATGTCACAATCCCTTCTTTATTCTCCTCTTGGGATTTTGGGCACATGTGCACACACATCTGGTATGAGTTTCAAGCCACCGGGTATGTGACTTGAACTGCGGTTGGCCATGTTGTAAACCAGTATGCCACCTGCTAGTGTCTGGATTGGTTTTATTAATGAATCTTACCCAGAGGGAGGGAAGAATAGAGTAAGGCTAAGGTTATAGTTGGTAAAACAGCAACAGTCACTCATTTTAGCCAGCTCAGGGGGATGCTGGGTGTTTTTGTGGTTTGCACAGTGATCTCGCTTTGGTCTGTGCTTAGACCACAGTATGAAGCAGTTTTGTTTTTATCTCACTTTGTCATGGTCACAGCATGGCCTTGCATGAAGCTGGTGTTTTGTGAAACTGTTTATGCTCAACAGGAAAACATCAAAGCCTAGCTATGAATGTCAGACTCCCAGATATCAGGTGTTTTCTCTTTCTTGGTACACATGTTCCATGATGTACAGACAGAATCTGCTCACCTTTAACTGACACTCACAAAGACTGTGTGCCACCACAGCAGGGCCTGAATTTGTTAATTTTCACATTGATCCTTAAAAAAATCAGGGCAAATATTTAAAACTTCCACTTTTCAGATGAAAGAAACAGGCTCACAGAGGCAATGAAACCTACCCAAGACCACCACAGCTGGTAAGACATGGGAGTGAAACTAGAAGCCACAACGTCTGATTTCTAGAACATTGCTATTTCCATTATATCATGCTTTGTCTCACATTCTGAGGGATTCCCCTAGCCTCCTAGAAGAGAACAGTGTCAGAGCTGGCCGGGCTTCTGGCTCGCTCTTCTTAAAGTTGCGACAGACTAAATGAGGTATTTAAACAAACTGGTTGCCACCAAACTTGACTTTCTCCATTTGTGCTCCGAGAGAGAAACTTCAGGTTGAGTAAGCCTTACCCGAAATGCTTGGGATTAGAAGTATTTAGAATTTAGGATTTTCTGGATTTTGGAATATTTGCAATATACATAATGAAGTATCTTGGAGATGGGAGTCAAGTCTAAACACAGAATTCATTCATGTATTTTTCATATATACCTTATATGCCTAGCCTGAAGTATTTTATACAATATTTTTCTATTACAGTGTTTAACAGTTTTGAAAAATAGTGATTTCTGGTTTACATGTAATTTTTGTACATCTTTGTGAGATATATTATGGTTTTTCAAAGCATGTATTGTGGTGTTTAGATTGTGACCTTCCACATCAGGTCAAATGTGAAAATTTCCTTCCTTTTTTTTAAAGAGAGATTTTTGCAAAGACAACAGACAGGATGTTCCACAGCTCATCTCCCAACGACAACAACAAAAAAACAAAACAACAAAAACAAAAACAGAGAGAGAGAGAGAGAGAGAGATTTTTGCTATAGAGCATGTGTGCTCTCCAGAGAAACAGAGACAGAGAGATAGAAAGTGAGAAATCACCCACCAAGGGGGATGGCCATGCTGCAATCCCTTCTCCATTCTCCTCTCGGAATTTTGGACACACATGCTGGGTCCGGGACTTGGACTGCAGTCACCTACCCAGTGATGTAACCATTATGCCATCTGCTGGTCCCCAGGTGTGGAATTTTCTATTTGTGACATCATGCTAGTGTTCAAAACTTTTGGATTTTGGAGCATTTGAGATTTCATATTTTAGGATTAGGGATGCTCAATCTGTACTGTGTCAGTTATCTATTATTCATTCTTTGATGATCTAAAATCGGAGTTTCTCTTTGCTAATTAAGACCTAGTTAATTTAATGCCATATGAAATAATTTTGATGCAGTTCTGACATAGGACATGTATTTCATATGCAGGAGTTCTACTTGATACCTTTGCACATGTTCTTCTCTTTGACCACAATGCTTTCACTCCTCTTGGGCATCTTGACAACTACTATTCCTCTTTCAAGATTCAGGTTAAGGTATTTTGAAGGACTTGAAAGGCACACTAAGGAAATTGGACTTTACCCTATGGACCAGTGTTATCTATTGAAGAATGTACAATTTAGGAGGTTCATAAGGTAAACCATTGGAGCATAGGATAAAAAAATTAAAATTTCTTTATTTGTTATCAGATATGTTAAAATTTTTCTCTGTGGTGTATTTTATAATGTATTAGTAGTACATGAAGATGGTTTATGAGTAAGTATATCATATACATATTTGGAGGGTATGCTAAATGTTTTCATTAATAAGAATATAAAATTAAAATGAAGATACCAGTGCCATTGATAATGGTAAATCATAAAAAGTTGTTTTGAAGAATTTTTAATTTAATTTAATTTATTATTATCTTTTAAATTTGCTATAAGACAAGTGCACTCACCAGAGAGAAACAGAGAGAGAGAGAGGGAAGTGAGAAAGCAAGCTGCCGGGTTCAAGACTTGAACCATAGCCAGCCATGTGGGAGTCCAACTCTCCAACCACCATGCCACCTGCTGGCCACACCATAAGAAGTTTTAATAAAAGGGAGCCATATGATTAAAAAATCCTGGATATCACTTTCACTAATACTAAGATGTTCTTGGGAAGTTATTGAAAAGTCTAATCTTGGAAAACTTAGTAAGTAACAAAACTAACTAGACAACATTTTATTAGCTACTTCAGCATCATATCTAACATAGGGAGTATCAATGATTTATGTAGAGACCATAAAGTCAAAGGCAAACAATCTGACTCTCGGTTACAGGGAAAAAGTTAGGGAAGTTCTGCCTGTTTCTTTACTGACCTCATGTCCACGTGAGCCTGCCGGAAGCAGGGGCCTGACAGCATTCTCTTTTTTCCTGGAAGCTTGTTATGTGCTAGAATTATGCTGTGGGGTGGGATGTCATGTGTATATGTACAGAGAGGAGTTCAGGCATACTCTCTGAGTAGGGGATCTCACAGCCTAGTGGGGGAAACACATATATGCCATATATGCCAATAAATTGAAACAGACTGATACACACTACAATCAAGCTGTGGACAAAGGAAAAAGCACTGATTCTATCTACGCGTAGGAAGAGATAAAGAAAGGTTGCAAAGATACTGCAAAGCCTTGAAGGACAATAGGAGCTTCTCAAACAGATGAAAGGAGAAAGAACATTCATGGCAGACAGAAGTATGAGCAAAAGCCTGAAGGAGCTACAGAAGAGGGCCATGCTGTTTTTCCACAAACAGTGTTCTGCCAGAGAAGACAGCAAGACAAAGTCTGAGAGGGAAGCATGCTCACTATGCACAGAACTAACTGGAATGCCAGTGGCTGGAATGAAGTAAGCAGAGGAAGACCAGCAGGAAAGAGATGAGGTCACAGAATTAACAGATTAGATCATGTGGGCTCTTCTAGCATTTAAGGACTCTGACTTTTACTTGGAATGAGATGGAAAGTCACTGGTAGGTTCTGAGCAGACACCTGTCAAGATTTGACTTAAGTTTTCTTGGAATCATTGGCTACTATATTGTGAACCAACTGAGGGGAACAAGGTAAGAAATTAGGAGGTGGCACTCAAAGACAGAAATGCATGAACATGAGATTGTACAGGAGAGTTTCAGTAACTGGCCATGGCATGATCTGAGGGTCTGACCATGAGAGTAATTGGTTTAGAAAGGTAGATGACAAAATTGTTGGACAGGGTCGAGGAACTAAGTTGCTAATAACAGTTAAAATAGCAAAGTTTGTAGAGAATTTACTCACTTATATTCTGAATGGTTTCTTAACAGAAAAAGAAAAAGAACTGTGGTCAGTGAACTAAAAACTGTACACAGGAAAGGCTTGTCTACCCAAGCATCATACTGTGTGAGCTGCACTGAGAAAGGTTTGAGCATTGCTTCTCTAAGGGAAATTGTGAGTACTGCTTTTCTTACTTGGCTGCTGCTTGCAGACCACAGGCTCTGATAATCTGGACTGAGATGGTGACAACACGGGCAGCAAGAACTCCTTCTGCTGTTCTTGGACTACGCCTGTACTTCAGGCCCACATCCAGGAAACCTGAAAAAGGAGGACAGATGATAAAAAGGTTGGTTACAAGAATCTCTGTTCTTCCCAACCAAAAGTCCTGATTAAGAAGGAAAGAAGTGTTTAGATAAATACGACAATCTTGATGAACAACATGACTCTGAGATAATCTATGGTCAGAATCACACTAATTACTGTACTTCAGGGTTAACAAAGATATAACAAGTTACTATTTCACTTTACATCCAAAAAACTAGGCTCAAAAATCTAACTGCTCAAGATCATACAGCTCTCAGAGGTAGAACTTAATTTACGAATTTTTAGAACTTCCAATTACATTTATACAATTGAGATGGACACTAGCCTTCTTTCTTTTTTCTAATGAGAGAGAGTGTGAGTGAGCACACACTTGCAATAGGCTTATTATGATTATCATTATGTTGGACAGGGTCTCACCATTGTGATTCTCTGTGAGACCCCAGCATCCCGGTTAGCTCGGATTACAGGTAAATGATACTATGCCTGGACTGTTTGGGCAGGTCTGGGATCCTAACCCAGACACACACTTGAAATAGGCTTATTATAATGATAATAATAATAAGCCTATATTATTATCATTATGTTGGACAGGGTCTCACCATTGTGATCCTCGGTGAGACCCCAGCATCCCAGTTAGCTAGGATTACAGGTAAATGATACTATGCCTGGACTGTTTGGGCAGGTCTGAGATCCGAACCCAGACCTCCCATGTGGCCCTAGGCTCACACAGTGGTGCCTGTACCACACCTTAATTCTTTTTTAAACTTTTAAAAGGTTTTTACACTTCACATACTTCTATCACTTTCTTACCATCACCATCAGAAATACTGTCACATGCCATCTTTCTATAAAAATGTTACCATCCTGCTGTCACATTTCAGAAAAATCTTTAAGGAATAACAGAATAATCTAATCAGCGAGGGTCAGGAGAAAAAGCTCAACCTTAATTATGGCAGAACAAAACCTTTTGCTTAAGCCTACACTTCAGCAAGCATGCACAATGACTTGATTCAGGAGGCTAATCCCAGTTATCTGATGATAAACTTGGAGGGTAGATCATTCTGCTAGAAACAGAACACAGAATATGTCACCACTCAAAAATTCCAAATTCTAATTAATCCCTTCCAACTTTAAATCCTAACCTTCTCATGTCTTAGAGTGAGTTCCTAGTTCATGCTAACTATATTCCACCAATTCCATTATCTGCTCACACTGCCCTGGAATAAAAAATCTCTGAATGCATCTATCCAACAGAAATTTATGTCACGAGGACTTATTAAATGCTTGCTGACCCTTTTGGGTCTCTGAGTAACACCATGGGGTTGGCAAGACTAAGAGCCCTAAGGGGAATAGCAGGTGGCATGGTGGTTAAGGTGCAGGACACTCCCACATGGCTGACTACGGTTCAAGTCCTAAACCTGGTGGCTTGCTTTCTCACTTTCCTTCTCTCGCTCTCTCTGGTCAAATTAAAATAAATGAATGAATAAATAAAATTAAATAAATAATTATTAAAAAAAAGAATAAGAGCCTTACAAAATGCAGCAAAAAAGGAGCCAAGAAGAAAGTGGTTGATCTATTTTCTGAAAAAGATTGGTATGATGTGAAAGCACTTGTTATGTTCAAAATAAGAAATATTGGGAAAACACTAGTGACCAGGACTCAAGAATCCAAAATTGCCTTAAGGGCCGTGTTTGAAGTGAGCCTTGCAGATATGTAGAATAATGAAGTCACATTTAGGAAATTCAAGCTAATTACTGAGGATATTCAGGGCAAAAACTGCCAAATTTCCATGGCATGGATCTTATCAGTGACAAAATGTATTCCATGGTCAAAAAATGGCATATCATGATTGAAGTTCATGTTGATGTCAAGACTACTGATGGTTATTTGCTTCGTCTCTTCTGTGCTGGGTTTACTAAAAAATGCAACAATCAGATATGCGAGACCTCTTCTGCCTAACATCAGCCGGTCTGCCAAATCCAGAAGATAATGATGGAAATTGTGATCCAGGAGGTGCAGACAAATGACTTGAAAGAAGTGATCAATAAACTGATTCCAGACAGCATTGGAAAAGATGTAGAAAAGGCCTGCCAATCCATCTACCCTCTCCATGATGTCTTCGTCAGAAAAGTAAAAATGCTCAAGAAGCCCAAGTTTGAATTGGGAAAACTCATGGATCTTCATGGTGAAGGTAGTAGTTCTGGAAAAGCTACTGGGGATGAGACGGGTGCCAAGGTTGAATGAACTGATGGATGTGAACCACCAGTCCAAGAACCTGTTTAAAGTTCAGACTTCTAATAGTGAACAAATCAAAAGTCCTATATGTGACACACACAAAAAAATGCTTGCTAAAATTAGAGTGAAACAAGTAATATTTACATAGTCCATGGAGCTAAAAGTTTTCTAAAATTGTATGCAAATTTGCAATGTATATTCTCCATTAATTTTTCTAAGAGATTATCTTGTAGTTTTCATCAGATTCTCAAAAGTGTAACTCCAAATGTGAAGAATTGCTAATTTAGAGATAAAAAGGATATTTATGTATATACATTTTTCAAAAGGAAGGCCAAGCTAGTCTTCAATTACCTGAAGATTGATTTCTCAATTCTTGCCTGTGCTCAAGTCGGGGGGTTAAAGGGAGACTAAAGGTCTGCACTCCCATATCCTCACGGTGCTGCATGGTTGCCATGGCACAGATCCTTGATAATGGCAAGGTTCCTTTCGCGACCATCTGGTCTCTTACATTAGGGTAATAGTATCTGTAAACCATAAAAGCACAAGATGTCAGCTGAAAGAATTAGGTGGATGAATGATTCAGTCTGCCCTCGGGATTAGCTTTCAATATCTAATTAACTTTGGAGCTGGTTGTTCCATTTTTATGGTATATAGCTGAGGTAGTGTCTAGCTGGATTTTCACAGTGGAAGAACCCCGTAAGTTATACACTGAATTTAGGACAGAGCCCAGCTTTCCACGGCTTTCTGATTAAGAGATCTGCCTATGCCTTAGACCTCTGGGAGTAGTCACTCCTGAAGGTTCCCAACCTGCAGCAACAAAATGATTCTAAGTGAAGCAATTCCAATCCCTTTCAAGGCTTACCCTTGTCCTCAGACCGAGGCCCCTCTAATTTGGAGAGGTAAATGAGGATCTGTCAGTATCTACTCTATTTCCTTCTCATGTCGAAACCATACATTTTAGATCATAAAGTTGTAAGTTAAGCCTAGGTTCTGTACAAGACTTCTACCTAATTATAATAAGGAAAAATTTCTGGCATGTGGGTGGTACACTGCCCTACTTCTGTCCCTGATACTATTTCCCTTCCTTTTGTATTTATAATTTCTCAGTCATTTCAGTTGGTTTCTTGGGGGTACAGATACAAAGGAGGGCGTTGAACATCTGTATTCATGCCAGTATCTTTGCTGGAAATCTCCTGCCAGTGTCTGTAATGTTGAGTGGATTTATATATTTTTCTAGTGGTGAGAACAGATTACAAGAAATGAGTTTCAGAAGTGGGGATACATTAGAAGGTTATCAGTAATTCAGGAATGGTTTGATAAGGGCTTGAAACAAGGAGATGATAAAGAAGTACAATACAGGTGATATGTTTAAGAGGCAGTAGAGGAAGGATAGCTCTGAGGCCTGGTTGTTAAGGCAGCTAGATCTCACATGGTCAACTACACAGTTTGAATCTTGACTCTGGTGGCTTGAAAATCACACCAGCACATGTGTGTGCATGCCCCAAATCCCAACAGGATGGAGAAATGGAAAAGTGATTTTGGCCTAACCATGCCCCATTGTGGGGTGCTTTCTCCTTCTCCTCTTATCTGTCTCTCTCTCTTTGGCAAGTACATACCCCTCTAGTAAAATTGAAAAATGAGAGAGAGAGAGAGAGAGAGAGAGAGAGAGAGAGAGACAGTAGGAGGTAAAACTAATAGCCTTCGTTTCCAATGTAATTAGTGGTTAGAAGTATGAAATGCAAATGCCCCTAAGATCCTAATAGTTCAATAGATTTCAGTAAAAACTGGACAGGGGACATTGTCAAATCTATGTATTTATCTATATGTATTTATGGATATAACATAAAGCTGAGGCTGCTTGATCAGAGGGGTTGCTTAGCTTACTTGCAGCAATACAACTGAGGCTGGTTAAGGATAGGATACGTTATGACTGTGCACTTCCTTCAGGCACAGGACTGGGTTCTCCATAATGTACCTGCACCAAACTTCAAACTGGACTCCACCTCCAGGCACGAGCCCCTGTGAAGAGAAGGCACTTAGTAGGACCCTTTGCACTGGAACTTCACTTGGTAACAGGAGAGAATGATGGTGCTCACTATTAAAGATGGGATCTGGAACACAGAGTGTGGTTGCAGTTCTGAAAGACTTCAGAGTAATTCCTGTAGGCATTCAGAATAATGACTGTTTTATATAAGGTAGGATAGCACTTTAATAATATACAGTACTTGATTATTATTATTTTTTTTAATTTGCAAGGGGGTAAGTGTGCTCACCACAGAGACAGAGAGAGAAAGAAAAAAAGAACACCACCCCCCCCACACACACACCCGAGGTAATGGCTACACTGCAATCCTTTCTCCTCCACTCTCCTGTTAGGTCCTGGGCATGCACATGCATTCAGTATGTTCCCTAAGCTGCTGGGTCTGGGACTTGAGCCGCACACTCAGTCATGTGGGACCCAGATGTTCTAACCACCATGCCACTGGCTAGTGTACTGTATTCAATTTTATCTTCATAATATCCCTATGAGGAAAACAAAACAGGGATGTTGACTCCTACTTCAAAGATAAGGATACAAACACCTTGAGGTTACACAGTTAACCTGAAGGTCTTACAGGTAGGAGGCCACAGACCCGGAACCAGAACCTGTATTTTCTGAGGTTCATTTCCCACTTAGAAAACAGTACGGCCATCTTAGTGGGTAGGAAGTGGTATCTCATGGTGGTTTGATCTGTATTCTCCAAATGACTAACAATGGTAGTATCTTTCTATGAGTTTATAACCTAATCTATCTTTGGAGAAATGTCTATTCAGAGCCTTTGCACAATTTCAATTTTTAAAAATTGAACTATAAGAGTTCTTTATATATTCTATACATGAGTCCCTTATGGGAACCTCCAAATCAGTCATGGCAGCATGCTTTGGCAGTCATTCTTGGACCTGCACAGATGGTGGAAAATTTGAGTCTCTCGGTTTGCTTGTTCTCAGCTGAGATCAGATGAGAGAAGACTTTGCCTTCCCTTTTCAGATCTCAGACATGACAAGAAGGTGGTTGGGTAGTCTACTGTAGTGCAAAAAACTCCAGCTCTGGGTCTAGTTGGACAAGGTTTGAATTCCCACCATGGCAGTTGTTAATGGGGTGGCCTCACACAAGTCATTTAATACTTTAAATCTTGTTTTCTTTATTGTAGAATAAAGAAAATAAAATCCACTAGGATGAGTAGTTCGTAGGTTTTAAGACTATGATGTATGTGAAATAAGTACAAGTACATATTTCAATTTTAACATTATGATCCCTGTGAAATATATATATGCATATATTTCTCTTAGAAGAAGTGGTTCAGTATTCCCCTATCCGTGTTCATGGTGACTTTATAGAGCATAGCTCTATAAATAACATGTGTATATAGATTATAAGAGTAGGCATGTAAATGACATTAGATAGACAAAATGTAAATAACTGGTAGATATAGGTAAAGAATATATGGAAGTTCATCTAGCAATGCAAAATTCATTCAGGGAAAATGCTTTAGTATATTCAATAAAAAAAATATATATATATATCAGAAGGAGCAAATCTAGGAGGCTGGCAAATGGTGTGCTGGTTAAGGTGTTGGACTCCCCACATGACTGACCGCAGTTCTGAGTCCCAGACCTGGCAGCTTGCTTTCTCATTTTCCCTCTCTCTGTCTGGTGAAATTAAATAAATAAAATAAAATAATCCTTAAAAAAAAAAGAGAAAATCTAATCTCTCAAACCTACCATTTTCAAGGAACTCGGGTCCTTTCAGGACACTGGATTGCGAGTCTTGAACTGGAAAATGATACTGAACATAACAATCTGCTTCTCCCCAGACTGTTGCCTGAAGAGGAGTGAGCCCTTTAACCATTTCTACATGGAACTCAAAGAGATGCTCCATCAGTCCAGTTCCTTGGTCCTTCACCTATGAAACGAAACAGACACTGGTGAGCTTTAAAGAGTAACCTGCTTAGAATATTCTGGCTTCTCTATGAAGCCTGAGTATAGGTAAAGAAACAAGTGTAATTAGCTAATATGAAAACAGATACTTAATTTTCACTGTATAACTCTCACAACTGCTCAGTGTAATGAGACACTCTTGACCTGATTTACTCTAGACCATTAAGACTGGGTCAATATCAGGAAATCTGTAAATGTAATTCACTGCATTAATGGAACAAAGGGAAAAAAATGACTATCTCAATAAATGCTAAAAAAGGCAGTTAATCAAATTCAACATTTGTTCCTGATAAAAGCTCCTAGTAACCTAAGAATAGAAGCTGATTTCTTTAATAAGTAATATATATTTGAAACAAATAGTTATGAACATACTTTATTACTATTTCTAATGAGGCTTGCAGATAACATTGGGTCTATCCAATAATGGTACGGACCACCTGGGGAGGTAGCAAATACACTGTCACTAAAAGGCACTGCTACTGCATAGCTAATGAACAGTGGAACCAGGGTTTAGACTCAGGTAGTCTGGTTCTAGAGATTTTTTGCTATAGGGTGTGTGCGCTCGCTGGGGAAACAGAGAGACAGAATGCAAGAAATCACCCCTTGAGGGGGATGGCCATGCCGCAATCCCTTCTCCTCCATTTTCTTCTTGGAATTTTGGACACACATGCCCAGTGTGAGTTTTTTTTTTTTTTTAAGAATTATTTTATTTAACTTTTATTTTTAAAATTTATTTCAATTTGACCAGAGAAAGACAGAGAGAAAGAGAGAGATAGATAGAGAGAAAGCAAACTGCCAGGTCCAGGACTTGAACTGCGGTGGGCCATGTGGGAGTCCAGTGCCCTTAATCACCACGCCACTGGCTGGCCCTGTGGGCAATGTGAGTTTTAAGCTGCAGGGTCCAGGATTTAAACTACAGTAGACTAGGTGGGAGTCCAGCAATGTAACCATTATGTCATCTGCTGGTCCCAAGTCATTGTTTTTTACCTCTATTCTATACAGCCTCAAAAGATATTTGGCAACCAATTATTAGAAATATTCAAAGGGGGAATCCAGAATTCTGATAAGAGGGAGACTATTATTTATATGTGTTTACCATTCTAAGTGCTAATTCAATAAATCTGAAACAGAGATTGAATTAAGTCTTTTCTTTGATATCTCAAAAAAATACATGTTAGCAACAGATGCTCAAAAAACTTTCCTTAGGGGATCAGAAAATTTGCAATTTCATTCCTTGGAGCAAAATGAAAAAATAAATTGAGGGGAGTCAGCAGGTGACATGGTTGTTGAGGTGGTGGACTCCCAAATGGCCGAATGCAGTTCAGGTCTCAGACCTGGTAGCTTGCTTTCTCACTTTTCCTCTCTCTCTCTCTCTGTCCATCTGTCTCTCACTGATGAATTAAAAAAACCCAAAAAACAAAAAACAAAAAACTAAAAGAAATAATTCTAAAAAAATGTTTAAGGTAAAACCTACTGGAGTCACAATAGCTGCTTAATTAACTCATACAGTATGAAGCAATTTAATAATTCAGTTCTGCAGATGGTGAACTGGCTATGGGACAAGAGTATAGAAAGAATATTAATTTTATTTGTAGCTATCTAGCCTCACAGGTAAATTTTTAAAAGAATTCTTCTGTATTCCCAGCAAGAAATTTTTGAAATTTTTGATATGGGATTTAAAAAAAATCTGAGTCAACACTGCAAAATAATAGCCAAATAACACCTACACAGACTTGGGAATATTATATATGTATAATATGACACATATTGTATATATGTATAATATTTCCAATATTTTTCTTCATTTGTACTTTTTATGGAATTTTCAATTAGAAAAACACTATTATCTATTGATAGATATTTTAGAAAGAGCTTTTTTTTTTTTGGAGAGATTTTTGCTATAGGGCGTGTGCACTCGCCAGACAGACAGAGAGAGACATAGAGACAGAAAGCGAGAAATCACCCCCAGGGGGGATGGTCACACCACAATCTCTTCTCCTCCATTCTCCTCTCGGGATCTTGGGCATGCACGCACATGCGCCCGGCTTGAGTTTTAAGCCACCAGGTCCAGGACGCGAACCGTGGTCGACTATGTGGGAGTCCAGCGACATAGCCATTATGCTAACTGCTGGTTCCCAAGAAAGAGCTTAAAGGAAAGTTGAGAGTTCATAATAAAGAAGTAATAAACTGCAGTAGATATTTTCCTTATAGTTATTTTTCTGTTAGATATTTAAATTTGTCATTCAGACTTAGATTACAAACATAACGTAGTGAATGTAGCTGAGACTGAGATTTGGCTACACTAAGGTACAATAGGACATGACATAGTGGAATGAAGAATGTACTCCCCAATTCTCCTATTTTAGAAATGCAAACCTGGGGCCAGCAGGTGGGGTGATGGTTAAGGCACTAGACTCCCATGTGGCTGGCTGTGGTTCAAGTCCCCGACCTGGTGGCTTGCTTGGTTTTCCTTACTCTCTCTGTGTGTCTGTCTTTGGTGAGTGCATGTGACCTATAGCAAATTTAAAATCAATCAATCAATTAAGTAAAATAATTCTTTTCTTTTTTTTAAAAAAGAATTATTTCATTTAACTTTATTTATTTGATGAGAGAGAGAGAGAGAGAGAAAGTGGGAAAGCAAGCTGCCAGGTCCGGGACTTGAACCACAGTTGGCCATGAGGAAATCTAGTGTCCTTAACCACAAAGCCACCTGCTGGCCCCTAAATTAAATAATTCTTAAAAAAAAAAAAAAAAGAGGAATGCACATCTGGACAAGTAACACAACCTTTTGACTCTGTTTCACCAATCATAAAGAGGATAACAATGACCCACAATCCACCTCCAGCTGTTGTTAGTAAAATAAACATGATAAATTATGTCACTGGGGGGGACCAGCCGATAGTGTAATGATTACATTGCTGGACTCCCACATAGTTGACCATGGTTCAAGTCCCAGATCCAGCGGCTTAAAACTCATGCCGGGTGTGTGTGTGTGCATGCCCAAGATCCCTGGGGGGAGAATGGCAGAGAAATGATTTTGGTGTGGCCACCCATCCTCTCCAGGGGAGGGTGTCATTTCTTGCTTTCTGTCTCTCTGTCTCTCCAGCGAGAACATGTACCTATAGAAAAAAAACAACTCTCAAAAAAATGTTACTGTGTTCACTTACTTGTAGAACACTGTACAAAGATAATTACTTTTAAGTTACTAGTAGGAAAGCAAGGCATGTAACTTTCCAATGTAGATTTAGCCAATGGGTAAGATTTTGCATTTGGAATTACTCCTCACTCCCAATTTTTAAAGGCAATTAGGTTAGTAAATTAGAGAATAAAGATCTGGATGTCCAATTGGATTTTCTTTAAAAATTCATTGGGAGCTCAGAGAGACACATTGATCCATTTAAACTATAACAGAAAAATACTGATGATTCCTTTGATATATAGCAAGCACGGAAGTGCAAGTAATGTTCTTTTCAGGACTCCTCCATCACTGAAATAAGGAAGGAGGGGCAATGGTTTCACTGAAATACACAAGAGAAAATCAGATTATAGACTTTGTGAACCACAGTGTTCAGTAACTACCGTAGCAACAGATGCTACAGATGGCTGATCCAGGAAGTGGGCTGGCCTATGGTTGACGGGAGGGAGCAAGGTTCCTTCTTCATTCTTTAATCTTTGTAGTGCCATTATCTGATCTGAAGAACCCATAGCTAAAAAGACTCGAAGATTCCCGTTTTGGTGACCCGAAAATACATCAATCACAGGCACGTAGCTGTCAACAGCAACCACTGGGTACTGGGCATCAAGCAGCAGGCGAGAAACCTTGGAATCTCTAGAGGAGGAGAAATTGTGAATGAGTAAATATCGATCATCATATAGCTGTTTCATTTCTTCCTTGGTATCTTTTCTCAGTTTGTTAAAAGTGGACCTACAATTAGAAAGGTCATAGAAGTTTTAAAAAAACACGGTTTACAAGGCAGGTAATTTCACGATGTAGCAACTGGAGGACAAAGACTGTGTCGGATGTACCTCTGTACCACCAGGGCTCCAAGCCCAGTGTCTGTGAGCAGTATCTCAGTGGAGCCTTGCTGAGTTGCATTATTTTACAGAGAGGCAGTATATTCAACTAGGAAGAGTGTGGACTTTGGAGTCTGGCAGATAAGAACGGAATAATATCACAAATATCTGCCATCTACTGAGAGCTTACTATGTGATGGGCACTTTAGAGTGCCTCTAGGTTTTCTAATGTGGCAAAGGTTGATATTATCCAATATTAGCAGATAAGAAAGCTAAAGAATAAGTAGTTTAGCTAAGGACATACAGCTAGGAGGAGAGCTGATCTAAGATTCATTGCACCATGATGAATCCCAGAGCTCTGCCATTTACTTGCTGTGTGACGTAAGCAATCCATTTAGCCTTTCTGAGCTTGTTTCTTCACTTGTGAAATATAGACAATGACACTTCTACCACAGGGCTGTTGTTAAGACTAATCTGAGACAATACGTATAAAATACTCGATAACTGGCAGCTACTACTGTTTTACATTCTCTCAACCAAGAATGAGATCTAAAGGAATGAGAAGAAAAGGGGAACAGCAGCCCAGACCAACAGCACAATTTAAACAAGGAAAAAGCCAAAGCGTAGAGTGACATCCCTGACGGCAGTTGTAGTCCTAGGCCTGGAGAGCCTGGCTGTACTTCCCAATGCTGCTGTGATAAGTGTTCAATTGTTCATAAAAGGGGTTGCCATTTATTTTCTCAGTGGGTCCTCAAAATTGATCTACAAGAGAGACTGAGTATCTATCATTGCCCTCCTTTTACAGATCGAAAGTTCTTCATGTGTACAAATGGATTCAATGATAATGCTTCATGCGAATATGTAAGACTTGAGATAATGACCACAAAGCTTCTCTTGGTACATGGTACATAATGCAACATTTAAAACACCATACCATGAGACGGCTGCCAGGAAAGAAGTCAGTGCTGAAATAATTACAAATCAGCGCCTTGAATCAAAATAAAAAAAAAAAGAACTGTCTGTACCGAGGATAGGACTAACCTTCAGGAAAATCAATATCCCATTATCAAGGTGTTACAGTGAGGTACAATCAAACCTGAAGGTCTGTAACACAATATTACAAAAGTCTTGTGAAGGGCAGATGGGAATACTGATGTTCCGTGACAAAGAGGTAAGCCGTTAGTTTTGTGAGTCAGTGACTTTTGGCAGTGGAGCTTTTTGATGGAGAGTGAACTCTGGAGCCAAGCCATGCAGGTTCTAACCCTGGGTCCACTCTCACAATACAGGTGACACGTAATCCAACTTCTTCAAGTTTTCTGTTACACTATGAGAAATAAAAGTACCTGCCTCAGAGGCTCGTTATGAAGATTAAGTGACTTGATGTACGTAAGGTTCTTAGCACAGTGCCTGAGACACGGTAAGCAGTATTTACGAGACCGCTTTAAAATAGAAGACAAAACGGCCACTGTGCTGAAACTGAGAAAGGTCCTCCAAGGGCTTACTGGGTTACTCATGTCTGCAAACCAAAAGGATTCCTCTTCTGTTCACACAGAATTAAAGATGCAAAATAAATTATAACCCAAAAGATCCTATTTACTTGAATGACACGTAAAACTGATGGAGGGGAAGTTTCACCAGCCCGAGCAGCTTGTCCTGTCCTGGACTCCGCACCTTGTTCCATGCTTCAATTACCATCACATTGTTTTTAAGTCTTTCTAGGTATGTGGAAGACAAGGAGACAGGAATCACCTGCGAAAGAGGAATAACCAAAAAACAAATTTATGTTTTTATTCAATAAGCACTTACTGAAAGCCTACTGTGCACACAGTGTCAGCAACTGAAGATTTAAAAATAAAACCCACTCCGTATCCTCAAGGGAAGTGGCAGTCTGCTCTTCCGGATTAATGCATAGAAGTCAGACATGAAATAGTCTTGGGTTCTCTGATGGCAAAACTTATACAGATGGGCCTTTGGGGACACAGAGGTTGTCAGACATGTCAAATACAATGCCTGCCAAACTCATCTGACCCTTTTCAAGGCAAAGTAACCCACTTGCAAACTGTGTTGTAAGAAAGATGTTTTTGAAACAAGGAGGGCTGCTGCTTGAAGGCTGAACACTTTACCGAAGGGTAGCCAATCTACTGGCTGCACAGTCTAACAAAGTGGCCTAGTGCGAAAAGCTCTGCCTAACAAGTGTCATGGCAAATAGCAATGCCAACTGTTTGGCTGGACTTTCAATGTAAAATTACTTCAGAATTGGCCAGGTGGTAGTTGAAAGAGAAAAGACAAGTCACAGAACCAGAGATCTAAAGCTAAGAGCAGCTTCAACAAATTAATGGCAGAATCAAGGGGCCCCCAAGCTGTGGTAACATCTGTAATTCTAGAGGGGACATAAGCCTTAAAGATGAAAGTGTCAGAAAACACGAGAGGAAGAGTGAAATCAGAAATTATATAAGGCACAACGAGGAAAACATCAGAAGAGCAGAGAATCAAAGCAGAGCTACTTTTGTATCCATCTTTAAAAATATATAAATATAAATTTTATATAACTTTATTTATTTATTTTAATTTGACCAGAGAGTGACAGAACAAGACGGGGGCAAGGGGAGTGAAAAAGCAAGCTGCTAGGTCCAGGACTCGAATCATGGTTGGCCATATGGGAGTCCAGCGCCCTTAACCACCACGCCACCTGCTGGCCCCAACTTTTATATCCATCTAACTTTAATTACATAAAGTACCTTGGGCATGCTTCTGTTTCTTCAAACCAAAAAAAAAAAAAAAAAAAACCGATAAGCAGGGGTTAATATACACACAGCTCTTCCTCAGAGCTATTATGAAAGCAGAGAAAATTCAAGGCAGAAGGAAGAGGCAACTGTGATGAAACTGAGAAAAGTACTGCAAGGGCCTATTGGGGAAAGACATGCAAAGACATAGAGGTAGAAAAGAATATTCAGGAAACCCCGAGTAGCTGAGGGGCAGCTTGACTAGCTAGTGTGAAGAGAAGAATGGCAGGAGTTGAGACAGGAGAGTAGTCAGTTCTTAAAAGGTCTTGGAGTCTAAACCAGGATTTAGTCTATTCTAAAGGCTATGGGAATTACTGAAACGTTTTGAGCACAGGAGTTAAAATATTTAGATTAGTGTTTTAAAAGCTCATTCTTGCTGGTGCATAGAGGAAGGAATGGACAGGAAGAGACCAGAAACAGACTAGTCTGATGGCTTTCTGGGATGAGATTGAGGACCTGAATGGAAGCAGTGGAAATGGAACAGAGGTAGAGGATGTATTTCGGAGATAAAATTAATTTGCAGCCTGTATTAAACTTGGTGAATAATCACATAAGAAAGACTCAAAGACAACATCCAGGCTTTAATTAAGTTTCCAAGTAAATTATGAATCAGGGCAGACAGAGAAAAAAATGGGACCAACAGGTGGCGTAATGGTTGCATTGCTGGACTCCCATATAATCAACTGTAGTTCAAGTTCCAGACTCGGTGGCTTAAAACTCATGCAGGGTGCATGTGCATGCATGCCTAAAATCCTAAGAAAAGAATGGAGTGTGGTATGGCCATCTCCCCTGGGGAGGTGATTTCTTGCTTTGTGTCTTTCTGTCTCTCTAGTAAGCACACATGCCCTACAGCAAAAATTTCTCTAATTGAGAAAACAGATTTGAAATGAATAATAAATTCAGATTTGAGAACACCTGAATTTATCCTTTAATTTATATTTCTTTATTAAATATTTGACACATGCTAGGCAATGTGTTAGGTATCAAGTGTTTCTGAGACCTCCAGGTGGTGGTGACCTGCAGCAGATCTGAAACTAGAAGTCTGACTTTTATAGAAGTATAGATTTGGAAGTCACCTTTATAAAAGTGATATCTGAAGTTGTGGGAATAGATGTGGTGACTATGGGCCAAGAGGATTTACTTGGAAAAGTGCCAGCCATAGAGTAATATTATGTCTCTGGGAAAGTCATGATGTATTTTTCTATGCAAAAATGTGTCATGGCTTTTCCAACAACCCAATATATGTGAGTACCAACAAATAAAAGAAAGGGAAAAGCGCTAGGGTCAGACCCTTTCCCTAGGGTCTGATCCAATTTTTTTTTTTTTACAGACCATAGTTTATTTTTAACACCCATGATGTCATGAATTCATAGGGAATAGGTTCCAGTAGCTCAGGCTCCTTTCCACTGGTTCTCATAAAGTGTGCTTCTCTGGGTGGAGCAGGCTGGCGCTTTAGTTGAACCCAGGTACCTTTCTCTTTGGCTTCCTTCTTTTTCTGATAATTTTCCTTCACACGTTTTAGGAAGCTACCTCTGCTCTTAGAATGCTTGATATACACATTAATTCTCTTAGCAAAAATCTTGCCCTTAACTCATTTGTTTACAACAGTGCCAACAGCATGGTGGGTAGCATTTTAGACTCTTACAGTTTTGCCATAGTAACATTTGTGGGGCATTCCTTTTTGAAGAGTCCCCATTCCATTGATGTCACCTTTCTTGTGAATTTGCATAGATGTTGCCAAAGGAACCACTCCATGTTTTCTAAAAGGCCTAGAGAACATATATTGGGTGCCT